GTTTCGGGTCCTAAAGGGGGCCTGACTTTCTTTTCCACATATAACCTGGGCTCCTAGATCGACCCTGCTTTTTTGTGGGAACGTGGTGCAGTCCTGGAAAGTAAAGGCGGCTGGCGTGTTGCTCACCACAGTATCCACCACAGTGCCGATTGGTCTATAAAATATTGGTCTAGCTCTATTTGCTCAGTACTCACAGGGGCGTGGAAAAGGGTCCTTTACTTTACTTATTAGTAATAATAATACTATAAACTATGCACTCAAACAAGGCTTAGATTTTCTGAGGCCCCTGTCCCCCATACAATTTGTAGATGGGTGAGGGTAACCCTAAGCTCATCCCCTTCCAGAATGTTTCCTTTATTTCAGCGCCTCTTGACTGTAAACTCTGATGACGTGTCCCAAAGGTGGGTAGATTTGTGTGTGTTTGTTAGACTGATTTGTTAAATACCGATTGGTTGCCAACTGAAAGAAGTAGGGGCTTGCTCGTCTATAAAGCCTTACAGCCTGGCTCTCATCTCCTTCGACAAATAGAAAAATGAGGTGGCGCTTCTTCAGTTTCGGGGTTATTGCTGTGGCGTTCAGTGCCTGCTTCCTTCGAGGACTTGCTTCTGGCATCAACGTGTCAGGTAGGTGGCTCACTCGTTCTTACCCCATAGCTTGTAGGTTGCACCTGATGTAGTCGTTACGTGCGCTATAATTATAGGTTATTTAGAGAAGGAACGGTGTAACCGGAACCTGCCTTTTTGGTCTGCCGTCCAGATTGGGAGTTTTAAATCTCTTTCACATACAAAAAGCCAACCATACCTGCCCATGCATACATACACTTACACATATTCGAACAGACACATTTACAAGCATTATTTACAAACACTCTTACATGACCTAACATACAAACATACAAACTCACACACAAACATACACACGCACAAACAGTCTCTCACAACATACTTAAGCTCATGCATACACATACATACAATCACTCGTTCATACACTGCAACCTATATATACATACACATACATACAATCACTCGTTCATACACTCAAACATATATATATATATATATATATATATATATATATATATATATATATATATATATATATATATATATGTTTGAGTGTATATACACACACATACATACAATCACTCGTTCATACACTCAAACATATATATACATACACATATATACAATCACTCGTTCATACACTCAAACATATATATATATACATACACATACATACAATCACTCGTTCATACACTCAAACATATATATACATACACATACACACAATCACGCCTTCATACACTCAAACATATATATACATACACATACATACAATCACTCGTTCATACACTCAAACATATATATACATACACATACATACAATCACTCGTTCATACACTCAAACATATATATACATACACATACATACAATCACTCGTTCATACACTCAAACATATATATACATACACAAATACATAAACACAAAGAAGCACCCAGGCATGCACACAGACCTATTTATATATACACAATATCCATAGGTGCACAAATACACACGCAAACACAACTACCCCTATGTACACAACACACAGAGATAGACACAAATATATACATGAATGTCCACGTTTACACACATATATACCTAATCTAATTATGCACAAACAGAAGTACAAAATCACATTGACACAGTTTTATACATATACCACACATACACCTATATGTGCTGATCACACAAATCTATTTATAAAATGGTAATGCTTGTTTAATTGATTATAGCAAGGCATTTGATTGTGTGGACTATTGTGAGACTGATAGGGTTTCCAGCGCATTTAGTGCATTGAATTGAAAATCTGTATCATGAACAACAAGCAGCCATCACAGCAGCTGATGAAACATCTGACTGGTTCGAGGTGTAAAAGGGAGGAAGGCAGGGGTGCATTCTCTCACCACGCCTATTCAATATATACGCAGAAAATATATTAAGAAATGTAAAAAAATGACCAGATCTGTGACAGTTATGATCCGCTCATAATTGATGGCAACCCTATTTCAAAACTTTGCTTCGCGGATGACACAGTTCTTCTTTTGAACAACGTAAAGGGAAGAGACAATTTAGTATTCTCTGTCCAAAAGCACAGATAATAACTTAATCGATCCGCAATTCGATTGGGTAATTAAGATATCACTCGATCATATTTTAATTGTCTATATTTACACTTATTATTTTTTTCAGATGCCTGTAATGTATGCGTCACCAGGGAGTGCGTTTTCTCAGGTAATATGTTCATGTGTTTGTCCCGTCCCTGAAGAGGTTTTAATAAATTTTATTCTAGTTTCTTTATATACAGAACATTTCTGCGTATTCATTCCTCCAATCCGTTCTAATCTGTTTAATCTGTTCAATTTTACACATGACATCCAGTCCAAAACTCTTGACCTCTAACATAAACATCTTCTGACCACTCTTGTTGTTCCATTAGTCCATTTGTTTTCTATTTCGGTGACTGCTTAGCGATCATGTTTGTGCTTGACCTCATGAAGTGTCAAATATTTCGCTTTTGCTATGGGTCATAGCTGTTGATTCTAGTGGTTGTCCAGACTTGAAAGCTGAATATTGCCTATATTGAGTTATTTAATTATGTATTTTACTAAAGCTGAAGTTATTTATTACCATGGACTGCCAGAATGACTAACAATGATTAACTGGAAATGGCATGAAAGTAAAACAATATATACAGCAATGAAAAGCATGCAAACAAATTTATTTGGTCATGTAATGAGAAAAGGAGCAAGGAAAATATCGTGACTAGTGGAAAGATCTCTGGTAGAAAATGCAGAGACTGACCATGAGGAATGATGGTGGTAGAAGATACAGAGACTGACCATGAGGAATGATGATGGTAGAAGATACAGAGACTGACCATGAGGAATGATGGTGGTAGAAGATACAGAGACTGACCATGAGGAATGATGGTGGTAGAAGATACAGAGACTGACCATGAGGAATGATGGTGGTAGAAATTACAAGGACTGACCATGAGGAATGATGGTGGTAGAAGATGCAGAGACTGACCATGAGGAATGATGGTGGTAGAAGATGCAGAGACTGACCATGAGGAATGATGGTGGTAGAAAATGCAGAGACTGACTGTCACAGACCTCTGGGTGACCTTGCTGGTCCGTGGCTCGTAACTGGGCCTATGACAGACAGACTAACATTTTACACACACTGAACCTTAACGCACACAGAGCACACACGACAATCTTTATTGTAAGTACAGGTAATACAATAGACAGTTGACTTCCCGCTGTGTGGCCGCCTATTGCTTGGAACCTCTGGCCGAACGAGCTTTACAGTCGCCTCGCTCCCAGTACGTTCCACAAGCAATCTCCTGGTGCACAAACCTAACGGTCACGAGATACGCTCTTAACTATCGACACACTGACCAACCAAACTGTCACAGCCTCTGTCTAGCACAGGGTCAGAGTGCCAAGGTTAGACATTCTCTCACAGAAGATGTACATAACTGATTTAACTGGTCAGAAGCAACTGGAACCTATTTACTTCTTATGGAACAACACAATACCTTGTACCAGTTAAATACACTACACAAAACCTATCCTATTCTAACAGAACACTGTACATAAACTATGCAGTCACTAACAGAAATATCCTAACTCTAATACACTATCAGATACAGAGACTGACCATGAGGAATGATGATGGTAGAAGATGCAGAGATTGACCATGAGGTATGATGGTGGTAGAAGATACAGAGACTGACCATGAGGAATGATGATGGTAGAAGATACAGAGACTGACCACGAGGAATGATGGTGGTAGAAGATACAGAGACTGACCATGAGGAATAAGGTGGATGGCTTAAGACAGTGGCATGGAAGAATATCGTTAGTGGAATTGATCCACAACACCAAAGATTGAGATCTGTGACGATGCATGAAAGCCTACGCCAGTTGGCATAGCACTTGATGATGATAAACTATGCATGCCACTAAAGTTTTACATTGAATATATTTAGTTATTCGTTGATGTATTTCACTAGAGTTGCACGTTGTATATATTTAGTTCCAATAATGCATAAACAAACAATACATTGCACAATTAATTGTCAGGCATATTTCACTGTATCTCGACAGGTGCGTTACTACAGAGTTACATCAACATAACATGAAACAAAAAACTGAATAAATCAACTGAAATACAAATAGTTTATTTGGACACATCGTGTGTGTTTTGGCCACCGGAAGCTCACCGTAGTCACGTGACTTGCCAGGGTAACTTTAAATTTACTAGAAATTCCGCCTGCTTACAACGATGGGGGTTGTTAATTTGAATTATTAAAGCTTCAGTCAATATCAACAGTCTCCTGCTCGGAGTGTGGTAAACCACACGAAAAGCACTGTCTGTGTCAACTACGTGTCCGGAATTAGGTAGATGACGTCCTATGGAAGAAGCGGGTTCCTTCCACTTGACTAGTCTCGACACCCTTAAATATTCACTAAACTGTGTATGTAGTCTTTAGGTATGTGCTCTGTCACAGCAGGAGAATATTGAGAATGGCCGAAGCTTTAACAATTAAAATCAATAACATACTTCCTTGTAAGCTGACATAATTTATAGTCAATTTAAAGTTACCCTGGTAAGTTACCTGACTACAGTGAGCTTAGTCGTATTAGGCATAACATGGTGTACCTGTATTGTATAGCCCATAGGATGATATGTTTACGACTGCGCCTTTACTTCCCATGACTTTACTTCTTACCACTTTAAGGCCGGGTCGACCTAGGAGACAAGGCAATTTTAAAATAAACAGGTTTTTTTTTTTTTTCATTAAGACCTGAAAACAAGATGTGACGATCCGTAGGCAAGCCTCTAATCACTACACCACGGCAGTTCCTTATTTAATAAACATTTCCCTAAATTTGAATATTTTTAACATTTATTTTTTTAATCCAGCGTTTCACATTTGGTTATTTCAG